GGGTTAGGATTATGGTAAAGATTAGGTTTAAGTGCAGACTTAGAGTCAGCGGTAAGTTAAGTCGGTATCAAGGTTAGGGCTAAGGTAAGGGCAAGTGTTAACTGCAGAATTAAGGCTTAGGGTGGGGTTGGGGTTAAGATTAGGACAACGATTTAGCTTTGTGTCAGGTTTATTGTTGGGGGTTAGAACACGGGAATATTTGTCCTTTCCGGCGTTATGTGCAGGTCCCCCTTTGTTACTTGGGTGAGGCATTCCTCTTCCCACATTCTGTTAAGGCGGCCATATAAGTCAGTCTCACCGAGTGCTGTCAGATTTCAAAACCCAAAATCCACACTAGAACTGTCCAATGCGGTCGGGAGGATATACTTTCCTATATCCTTACCGCGCCTAGACTCACTGCTCCATTTTAGTGACGTGAGTGCCGCAAAAGATTGTGGTTTACAAGTTTGTCAATAAAGGTCGGTCGTATACTCGTACGTACAGGGCCAAAGAAGTACTGTCCTTCAGGTGAGCGGTTAAACTTAATTTTGTTCAGCTTAGCACAGTGCCTGCTTATATTTATTCATAGATGTTTTGGCAGATTTTCAATAATTCATATTGACCCAACTGTGAGAAACTTGGCGCCTCGGTGGGATTCGAACCCACGTAGTAAGGGGAAGGCTTTAATGCAGTCAGCGCTCTAACCACTTGAGCTACGAGGCCCTGCCCAAATGTGATTAAACTCGAGTCGTCCGGCGGGGCTTCGTAGCTCAAGTGGTTAGAGCATTGGCTGTACTAAAGCCCTCCCCTTACTGTCGTGGGTTCGAATCCCACCGAGGCGCCGAGTTTTTCACAGTTGGGTCAAGATGAATTATCTTTATTCCCCAGACTTTTTCTGCTTCGGACCGTTATCGGATGAGAATATGTCCCAAGGTAAATTCTGTTTACAACCATGAGAGGCCTAAAGCTGGCGCGTTGACTTCATATGCCTTTTGATATAGCAGTGGGGAGGGGAGCATTTTTGACAGATTGCCGTGAGGCCACCAGTTTGGCCACGTGTCATCTTGAAGCTGCGAGAGACAGGCAGGAAAATCGAACTGTCAGCCTACCGGCTTGGCTGAGCGCTTGGGCAGGGTCCGACTAGAGTGAAATTTAGCGCAGGTGGCCGCGCGCGCGCGCGCGCCGTAATTACCGGTGGGTCGATAGTCACCTCTGCGCTGGACGAAGGGGGTGTTTGAACGCGTCTGTACCGTGCGAACACCGCTGTGCGCAAACGCGCGAGCAGCCGGATCGATAGGGCGGCAGCACACGCGCCGCGGCTTCAGCCACTCACGGCCTGAGGCCACTCAGTGCTGTGCGCGTGTGCGATGATGCTTGACGCAGCTGGCGCACAGCAGCAATCGGGGCCGCAGAAGCTACAACAGTCGACGTACCTTCCGAGCAGAACGAATAACCAGGACTTCCTAATGGCATTACAAGGCGATAACAAAGCAGTAGCCGTTAAAGTTCAGCCCAATGCATCCGCTACGGAGACCCCCTATCTGGTTCGTTGATGTGTTATTGTTATTTTTTGTAGTCACACGTTTTAGTGGAGAAATATTTAGTCGTGTTTTGGAGCTGGACAAAAACGTACTAGTTGGGTTGATCGGGTTCTACAGTAATTTGGAGGAATTTCTAGCGGCTCAGGTGATCATGGAAGTTTCGCCCACTAGCATGCTCTAAGTTGGCGACGGTGAGAGAAGACTCAAAATACAGCAAACAACCTCTTATACGTTAATACCTTTGTCATTCTAAAAAATAACAGATTGTGGCCTCGTCCCTATGCGCCAATTAAATGGGCCAAAACAGGTATTTCGATTCGATCATAACCGAAGTCTACCGTTTATTATTATCCCGAAATTAGTGCTTGTCATAATAATAGTACTCTTACTAAAAATACTGGTTTCATTTCGATTAATAATAACTGTATTGGCATCACCACAATCACCGTGGTCGTTGTTACTCTCGTTGGCATAATCGTCGTCGTCGTCGTCGTCGTCGTCGTCGTCGTCGTCGTCGTCGTCGTCGTCGTCGTCGTCGTCGTCGTCGTCGTCGTCGTCGTCGTCGTCGTCGTCGTCGTCGTCGTCGTCGTCCTCCTCCTCCTCCTCCTCCTCCTCCTCCTCCTCCTCCTCCTCAAGAGGTCGAAAGTCTGAGTGATAAGCGTGCATGTACAAAGCAGACTTGCAGGGCCGGGTGATTTTAGGTTGCCGATGATTTCAATAGGATACATTGTATAACACGATTTCTGATCGTAGGTGAGGACAGACATAACCAGCCCATACAGGCGGATGATTTCGTCTGTTGAGTCATTCATTGAATATGACCATTTTTCATTCAGGCCGTTCCGAATACAAAAACGAACATACTGGACTGTGTATAGTGTGATGCACACTCATTGACTTTAAAGCCACATAAACCTTATTCTACCAAATCGTATCCCAGAAGTCGTGCTCAGTGCCACTGTGCTCTCATTATTGTTTCGTTCGTACTATTTAACACTTTACTGGTGATGTACTTTAGGGTAAGGTGATACCATACTAACGGCGCAGGTACTAAAGAAAAGCCCACAAGCGCGTGTTTCGCTGATATTCTGCCGCTGCATGACGAAGCTGCGAGGGGTTCGGTTCGTCAGTGGGTCCCACAGCGTTCCCCGTCTGTTTCCTGGTAGATACTTTGATTTAGAAATTGTCGCTTTTTTATTTCCTGATAGACTTCGGCCCAAATATTCATGCATAAAAATCTCGGTCTGAGCCTATAGACCTTGAATAAACTGATTTACTCCATGTTCGTAGTTAATTTCTGAGGAAATTAACAAGCGGCAATTACTGTTGATGTATCAAAAAACCAAATTCCGGAAGCGGGTTCGACAGAATAAAATTACTCTCCCGATTGGCTACTCGCAGACCCTTTAAGATATGAGGCAGACCTCTCATCACAAATGCCGTTACTTCCTAACGAAGTATCATTTGTATCGCACTTATATTGTCGATAATTTTATCCCATTATATTCGTATCCCTCCTTGTTTTCTCCAAGTGTCACCGTTAAGTCACGGCACGTGCGGAACTCCATGAAAAATTGACCGAAACTGGTATACATTTTTAAATAGCAAAGATTACAGGCCGAACATAAGAAATATGGACCTCCCGTGCTATAAATGGTTTTGCGCTAGACTCCAGAGAAGGTGCTTCTTCCCGCGTTCGAAACTTAATTCCAACTCTATGCCTGACCCCTCTGGAATTTAGGGTAGGATCACTTGCAGTACAACATTTCCATGCCCAACTGCATTACTTACGTAGGTTGGTAACATTACAAACATGAGGCGTGGTCGTGATTTTTTAAATACTGATCATTCGTGGTTCATATTCTTTGAAAATAATCTCATTTCATTTTTATATTGTTGACATTAGACGACATGGGGCTCACTGATTATTGAAATCTACTAGAGGCAACTTTTGATGTTTAGCCTAAATCAAGAAGCCTATCGACAGTAGGCTATGTGCCTGTTTAGGCGAATGTCAGGATAGTCTAAATCGAAGACTTTTTTCCTGTCGATGTGGCCGGCAGAATACTAAGGGTAAATCAAGTGCCGGACAGTCTTCATCGGAGTATTAAAAATCAACGATATGACTAATTAATCAAGTATGGCTCTTTCGTAAGGACGATTAAGTCACCGTAAATTTCGCCAACTGTGCATCTTACACTTATCAACACAGCAATCCCAATAATGCGAGGAATGTTATATGAAAAAGTACATAATGACTTCATTAGCTCGCCAGAATTCCCAATGAACTGCCTGCCAAGTACAATGTAACCAATCGGTAATGGCAAGAAACAGGTTCTTTTTGTGTTCAGAGTTCAGAATACCCGCTTACTAGGCGCTAAAGACGGCAGACCTTGCTCATAAATTCTGCGTTTTGAAATGGACACCGTTGAATCAAAACTGACAAGAATATGGTATGTAACCCCCCGGGAAAAGCGTAATTAACTATGGCCAACCATAACCATTGTCGTAATAAGTGACCCTAACCTTTAACCCGTAAGCCTTTAGGGAAAGCTCGAACGTAACCGCGACCGTGGCCGTAGGCCTTAAATTCCTAACCCTGAAACCCTAAAACCCTAGCCCAAACTCCTGATCCCAATTCTAAACCTCGACGCTAGTCTCAACCGCAAATCCAGATTACGACCCAAGCCTGACAAGCTCGGTCCCAGGAATAACCCAGGTTCTAATAATAACCCTAACTCCACCCGTATCCTTAACTCTAACCTTCAGCCCGGTCCGAGCAACTTTGACGTCAATAACGCCAGCGAAGATCTGCGTATCGCATGATGCCTTTACCAATCTTTTGTCAGGCAAACTGTTATGAACCACAAAAAGCGTTACCGACAAAGACGGTGGGGACTAGAATGGCCATTTCTGGTCTATTAGCCATCGCCAGTCAGCCCCACCTAACCCCGAGGTGTTCAAACCCTGGAACTTGATCCTGAAACCTGTAAATTAGAAGTCCAACGTACTAATCATTGAGCCACGGGTTCGTTGTCTTGCCAGTTACGATGGGGTTCCAAAATGAAAGCGGATTTAAGGGGGTCATATAATTCAGTATTACCCTCGCAAGGCTAAATCGTTTTTTCACTTCATTTTGGACGCTAAAAACACCGGTAAACCTTCCTGATTAGTCGTTAAATTCACCGGGATTGCTTGGGGGGACTAAACAAACTTGTTGCAGTTTTTCCTTGCTGCTAACTTCGGCTGTCAGTTTCTGCCCCTATTTATTCGTTTTATACGTTATTGTTTTAGAAGTGTGAAATAGCAGGAGACGAAAATGCGAAATCTGACGACACAGGCCGGGAGAACACAGCGCTGGACCTTCGGGTAGGTAATTTTACCATCTAATGACTGCTCCCTATAAAACAGACCGGTGTTGCCACGAAAAGGGAGTTTCCGCAAGGAGACGACGAACCGTACTGCTCTAAAAACAAGCTCATGAAGAAGAGACCAACCGACCAGGAGCTCGCACTAAATGTAGGTCACTTTTTATTCTGGAGTTAATTTGGCCTAGTCAGTCTACCAAACTTTTTAAAAAGAATTTGGCATTTCTACAGTGCGTGACCGCGATCTCATGAAATTTTGGCCAAAATTCTGGAATGCAATTCCGATTAGGAAGGATTACTTAAGTGGGGTTGTTATACTGATTATCACGCAGCATAACCCTATAACATTTCGGACTTGCCAGGATGTCGACTTTTAAATGCCCTTCTTTCTGACATCGTACAGAAATTACACTTGGTGATAAATGACTACTTAAGTAGCATGCATTTTTCATATTGGTTTTCGATGGTCTTATAAATTCTAATAGATTTTACAGAAAACATGCACGAAAATATGCTTTTTGGCTCATTTGGTAGTAAATTCAATTTTCTTCATATTTTAAATCCGAAGAAAGTGTGTCTTTCGGTTTTTAAAAAGTTTCCCGACCCCCGAATAATTGTCCGCCTGATCTGCCATTGCATTAGCGTTTAGCAATTCCAGTCTACAAGATGCATGCTTTTCGCGTGAGGAAAATCATATATTCCTCTAGTCCTTTAAGAAGATACCACACAGAGTTCATGAAATTTTGCAATGGATCTGGGCTGTGTTGTACATTTCATGAGGAGCATTAGTAGAAGGACATGTGCGGTCTTGCATGCATGGACATCTCACGGTCTTAAAAACCTCATAAATAGGAACTTTTTAAAACCAAATATGCACTTTCTTCGGGCTTAAAAGATGAACACAATGTGATTTCCTACCAAATGAGCAAAAGAAGGCATATTTTCGTGCATGTTTTCTATAAAATATATTCAAATGTATAAAACCATCGAAAATCAGTAGGAAAAGGGCATGCTACTTGAATAGTCATTTATTACCAAGCGTAATTTCTGCAGGAGGTCCGAAGTAATCCTTCCTAATCGAAAACGCATTTCGGAATCTCGGCCAACATTTCATGAGATCAGTCACGCTCTGTCTGTCGGGAAGTTTCCGAACGACTGTTGTACATTGTAGGGTTCCTGGTTGTTTCTTTTGGTATTCTACATGTTCCTCCTTTATCTCTTTCCCTTTATTTTTCAGCTCTTCATCAAGCAACTGGCTGTTGAGCTACTTGATCGCCGTCTTACAATTATTCAGCAACCCCGACACCGGTTGGCCCAACTGGAGGCCGCATGCCAGCGACAATTTCCTGACTTCAACGAACGCCAAATTCGACTCAAGGTTCGGGGTCAGTTGAAACTTTACCGACGGAATCTCAAGAAGGCGGAGGAACGCCTGGCCGGTTGTCTCAAGTCCACAACCTCTTCCTCCTCCGCATCCTCCTCCCCCACCGTCTTTTCAACGCAACAACCTTCCGGCCAAACCTCAAACACTTGTCTTATTGTTCCGTCTAGCAACACCAACGGAACCACGCTTGCCAATGACTCTGTGGGGAGACCTGGCCCCTTCTACACGGTAGCTGCTGAAGGTATTCACACACTTCTGCCGTCATCAGAGACCTGCTCCACTTGCAATCCTTCGGTTGTACGGCTAGCACAGACGGCTCTGCTCAACGAGCAACGTCGAAAAGGCCAAGTTTGTCACGAGATACTATCTCAGACGCCTGTAAGCAGTGGGGGTGTTGGCGGTTGTGGCACTCCGAGATCTCTGCCTGCTGGCGGCCCTGTCTTGCTGACCGCTTCCTCGACATTAGCCAATCAGACTCCTAGAACACAGAAGGTCCTGCCAGAGCTGAGACCAGTAAGTTCTTCTGCGGTTTCATTGAATGTTCGCATTTGGGTTGTGCTGGACGGTTAGTTGATATTTGTTAACTTGTTAGAATGAGAATACTAAGATTCAGAATCGTTTGGAGGATGCCACTTCCGTTTTCGGGATTGGTGGGCAAAGTGAAAACGACCTGTCCTCTCTTCTCGATGCAACCCTAACAAGGCACCTCGTACACGACCACGACCACAACCACGACCACGACCACGACCACGACCACCACCACCACCACCACCACCACGACCACCACCACCACCACCACCACCACCACCACCACCACCAGCACCATGAATTGGCATAATTATGAGACCGCAAGCTGTACAGTCCGAATAGTTGAACGTTGGGAGATCAAGGCGAGCTCGGACGAGGGGAAAGACTTAGAAAGGCAGAAGTTAGATGCGACGAAAATGCATTAATAATCTCTATTTCGTCGAGCTCTGTTGGTCCTATACCGATCAGTGAAGAATGGCGCACACAGCGACCGCTTACGGGCGCAAACACCAGATGAATACTGATTTTTCATCATATATGACGATGATCTGGGGAACTAGCGTCAAAAATTGACCTAATGAAGCTCTCTATATTTTTTTTGAAAGAACGTGTTTACATTAAATATATATATTTTTGGGCACCGGTTCCTTATCAAAATGCATTTTGGAAAACTGACGTCGTCCAGTATCTCATGAGCCATGTTAGCGGTATAAAAATGGACTTATATTGTTTCGAACTGACATAAATTTCTGCGGTATTGTCCCTCCTAATTATTTTGGCGAATGGATTCCGTAAAATGTCAGTCTGTGTATCTGGAAATCTAGACACCTGAGGTAACCTTCTAAACATATAATATTTTACGATACGAGTCCTTGAAAGTTGGAAGACAAGAAAACACCGAAATCAAACCTTCCCTTTCTCTGAAGGAACAGTGCTAGGAAGCGAACCGACACAAACGGCGGCAGTTCAGGGCATACAAAAGGCTCCTAAGTGAGTCCCCCAGCGTTCTCTATGTGGATTTTGATACGTAAACTCCAGAGAATGCTAAAGGTAATGATTTCAGAAAGTATTTAGTTCAGGACATGGAGTAAAGTTTCCGGGACATGGTGTTTTAGTGTAAGAACGAAGTGTCAATAGACATTTGAGCCGAAGACAATAAACTATTTTAGAATAACTACGTAATATATACAAATATATACAGAATAACATTTCCAACAAAGATAAGGAAGACCGGAATGGGCATTTCTGATTTACTAGTAGTCAACAACCAGCCATACCCAACCTCACAAGGCCCAAACCTGCGCTCTGTTGACTAGAAGCCCAAAAGTCTAACCACTGAATCACGGTCATTGGCGATAATGCTGGCTTCAAGTGCTGAACTTGAAGAAAGGGGTAGGGCGATCTTTTGGGAGGATGGTTTAATTATATACACACGTATGCATATGGCAGGGTGAGTGTTCACCGATCGGGTTACTTGATATGTCCTTCCCGTTACGCCTTAGGATTCTAGATCCCTCAGAGACTGATCCCTCTCATACAGTCGCATAAAGACCAGTATTCTGTGCAAGGAAGGAGTACCGATCAAGAGGAGGTATACTGGGACGACCGTTTTTGGCTTATCCACCGTCATCAACCAGCCATGTCTGTGCATATATATATGAATAACTGAGGTAGTATGCATTCCGAGACGATATAATAAAAGAATAAGGCTCATAGGAAAATGTTAAAGTCCGTTACACCAACCCGTCGTCAGACGAAATGAAAAGTGTGAGGGAGATAATCTCACTAGGGAGCCATATACATATATGCGTATGTATTACTAACTACCCGTCGACTGCTTGTGGGCATTATCTTCCATTTGGCACAAGCTGATGTGATTCGACCCTAATGTTGAGATTGAATTCCGGAACAAACCTGAAAAGGATTTGCCACGAAGACTTGACTTCAAGTTCACTAATTAACTCCTGAGTGAAGTAAAATACTTATTGCTTAAAAACTGACGTGTTAATATAGCGGAAGCCGTATGGAGAACGCGAAGAGCAGACCGATGACCGGAGTCCATCGCAGTTGCATCCCACAGCGGCATAAAGTCAGCGAACCACGCAGCAAGGCTTTTTGTTAGTGAATGCGCTGGGAGCATGCTGTCTCGATATCAATGTAGATTTTGAACCCGCCTTTTTCCGAAACCCACTATATCTGAGTCAGTGGCTGGACCAACTGTGGTGAGCGCAGACAGACTACTTATGGAGCTTTGTCAGACATCGCGCTCGTGCCCATCTACAGTCGTCTGTTCCACTGAAATGGTGTCGGCTATCGCTTCCTATTCTGTTCATGTGGTTTGGCAAAAAAAGACGTAAGTTGAGCAGAGTCAGACAACTGAATCAATAAAAGAAAGGAAAGGATATTATGTCTGTCGCCATTCCGTTCGGTGTGCGTCACAGCTTTAGAACCCCTACAGCTGACTCCTCGATATGAGTGAAGATGGTAGCCAGTAAAAGGTAGGCCGGACAAATGACAAGAAATGAATCTTGGTCACTTTAACTTGTTTTGTTTAGGCCGCTCCTTGGTTTTGCAGCTTTATTTTGCAATTACTTGCTGCCCTTAACCGCTCACACATGTCTGTTGGTCTTTACCAGAATCTTCAGGCCTTACAGCCAACTACAAGAACTGTACCGATGAATGACACTGCAAAAGTTTCCTCCAATTCCGGGCCAGTCATCGCTGCACCATTTGAGCAGCCACAAAAGACACAAAATATCCTCCCGTCAGCTGTTAACCTAAGCCTTCGTGGAGGCACTTCAACAAACGGAAAAACTCAACACCAGTCGGTGCCCATCAAGCCGTGCGACGCTGTCCTAGCATCAAATGGTTTGAACCAAACCCTCCCAGCTATGCCAGTGGTCAGTCGAGTATCGATTTATCGCCTTTAATCGCTAATCTATTCTTATTCAGGCTCGTTCATGCGTTAAGACCTTATTTTACCTCTTCAGTTTAATGAGCCAACGACGGACACCAGTCAGCTCAATGAGACCTGGCCTCTGCCTGATGCCCCGAATACCCTAATCGCCAGCTGCCTGAGACTGACAGCCAACTTTTTGATCCAGAGTGCTGCCTTCTTCGAGAATAAGGCATTAATGCAGTCGCCACTGGCATTTGCCGAGCTTCCGCCCTGTCTGCCATTGGTCACCACCCCCATCCTCTCCATGCCCTTTTATCCCAGTTTCTCAGATGCCCCAAATCTGTCTTCAACGCCCCTCAAGGCGAATCAGTCTGATCCGGTGTTGGCACCGCCAGCCCCGAAACCGTCCACTGTAACTTCAATACAGGTGCCGCAACAGATGATGCCGGGCGCACAAGTACAGCTTGTTGCAACTGCAGTCACCCAGCCCCACACCACGCCAACAGTGGTTTCAGTCGCCTCATCTACGCCACCGCAACCGAACTCCTGCGGGAGCGCTTGATGCTCCGGGTTAGCCGTATTGAAAACAATGTTCCTGTGCTATGTACTCGTACGACATCTTTTGAGTCTAATTTTACGAGACTGCGCCCCTTATCACATTCTCCACTGCGTTGTACAAAATTATAGAACACATTATTCAGAAGTGTTGGCTGCGAACCCTAACTTACTGGCACTTTGCTATTTCCCCTCCCCCTCCAACATAGGTAATCCCGCTTGTTTTTAGTTTTTCAAATAAAACATTTTTTGATGACGCGAACGTCTAGAATGCACTAGAAATAATCATAACCACTTCTGAGTCGAAATAGTCTTATAGGAACGAAGCGCAAGCGAAACCGATGACACTTAACTACGGCTGTTCATACACCGCCAATTTTAGGTGAAAGCGACCAGACCAGTCGGTCCGTCTACACGGACCACACGCGACTTGGTCCCTGCTTCACATATACTTGGGTACATTTGAGAGAATAGTTTTTAACCGTACACACATTAGAGTGCTAAAAAGGCTGCGCTAAGGCGGGGCCACCGCAGCCTAACCCTCAGTCCTGAGTTGGGCTGACTTATCTCCTTAATTTGCCGCCCTCCAGACGATGACTTAATGCGTCCTGGTAGAGTCAAAGGCATCAAATTAACTACAGTGAGGAATGCACTGATGTGTCGTTGCGCAACTCATTCTTTCCGTTCGCAGGCGGCAACCAACTTTCAGTCATCGCAGTCAACTGGTGATGAGACTGGCATAGTGGCTGGCGCGGCGTATAAGCCCCCGTCTAAGGCTTCCCACGCGCTTATGCGACAGTGGGTTAGTCCCTCGCGAAGATTCGACACAGCCCGATAAAGTCACGCCACTACATCTCTTATCTGATCCAATTCACTTGCGGTGCAGTCCCAGTTAGTAGAGCGATTGTTTTGAGCGTCTGCATAGTGTTCACTGTGGGCCCTGTATGTGCGCACCGTTGAAAGAACCGATGCGTTGTCTAAACTTGCGGGTGTAGAGTGGACAGGAAATTCATCCATTATGGATGTGTATAGAGGCCCTAGGCATTGAATTTCCAATCAGGATGCAGGCGGTCAGCTGGGCTGATGCGTGATCGAGATGTGCGCTCGCAATGCAGACAGGTTTCAGCGAACTCTACATTGGCGGTGATGTCGGGGGCAGTGACGGCAATAACAACAGTAAAGATTGTGGCGGAGGCTGTCGCAGTTGTCGTTTGTTTCACGGCAGCGTTCCTGTCGCCTTTCGAGGTAATGCATGAGAGACCCGGGGCGTTGTCCTGGAGTGCTTTATGCATATGTAGATACCAATAAATACAAGTGAGATCGGAACGGCTATTTCTGGCTTATTACCTGGCTGATGACGGCAGGTAAGCCAGAAATGATCACTAGCGTCTTCTTTGTCTTCTACGGCGCCCCATCATTTGCACGTCCTATCAACTGCCTTGCGACTGCCTGCGAGAGCTCTGGATTTAGGCAGAATGGTATTAGCGACAAAGACAGGTGGGGGGGGGGACTACATGGCAATGTTTTGCTTATTAACCGTCGCCAGCCAGTCATACCCAACCCCGAAGTGTGGAACACCTGGGGCTCGATCACGCAACCTGTTAGTTAGGAGTCCAAAGCCTCTAACCACTGAGCCACGGGCTGTTGGTTGGACTCGAGAGAGAGAGCCCATAAGGTACAGCCGGACGAGTGAGTTCCATAAAAACGATTGGTGAGCGCCCCTCCACCACTTTGGATTTAGCCCCATGGCACAACGGAACGAGTATGTCAGGTGGCCTGGTCGGTATGCGTAACTCCACCAGACTTTATTTATGGACGTTTGCCACGATCACATAATTACAGTAGGTGGGCCAACTCATGAAATGTCAACCGAAATTCCGAAATGCGTTTTCGTTTCGAAAAGATTAATTAAGTAGGGTTGTAAAACTAGTCAGTCTGCAATGTAATTCTATAATAACTCAGTTACCACAGGATGCCGGCTTTCGAATGAACTTCCTTCTGGCTGCATGCAAAAAGTATACTCCGCAAAAACGACTACCTAATTAGCCTGCATTTTTGTCATTGATTTTCGATGCCCCTAAAATCCAATTATATTTCATGAAAAAAATGCATACAAATATTCCTTCTGCTGCTAATTCGGTAGAAAATAACGTCTTTTTCTAATTTTATACTCGAAGGAGGGACATCATTCGGTTTTAAAAAGTTTCTAATAGTGAGATTTTGAATACCCTGAAATGGCCGTTCATAAAACGCCATGTTTCTGCATTTACCAATCCGGCTTGTAAAGTTAACAATATGGCTCAAACTCACTGCAAAATTTTATGAACCCAATGTAGTACCCTCTTAACACCGCAGAGAAATGTAAGGATTTTCGCACGCTGGAATTATACGGTTCGTAGTTGGGAAACCCAGGAATGCAAGTGTAACTGCAGGCGGGATTCCAAATTATTCGGGCATTGGAAAAGCTTTTAAAAACCGAATTATACCCTTCCTTCTAGTATAAAATTAGAAGAAGACGTTATTTTCTGCCGAATAGGCAATGGAATGAATATTTTTATGCATGTTTTCCATGAAATATAATTGAATATTTAATGGCATCGAAAATCAGTGAGGAAAATGCATGCTACTTAAGTAGTCGTTTTTAAGGAGCATGGTTTCTGCATGCGGCCGGAAAGGAGTTCGTTTGAAAGCCGGCCTGCTGAGGTAACTGAATTGTTATAGGAATATGCTGCATATTGATTAGCTTTACAACCCTACTTAATTAATCTTTTTGAAACAAAAACGCATTTCGGAATTTCGATTGATATTTCATGAGTTAGCCCTCCTACTGTATGCACGTTTGTCCAAAAAGGCCAATTCAATATCAGGATGCCCTGGGAAAGTACAAGTAGGAAGGGCGAGCGTGGCGGTTTTTGCTCAGGACTTCAGGCAATGGTTCTTCAATCGAACTGAGATGAATTCGCGCTTGACGGGCCTGACTAATACGTAATTTGAAAGTGCAACTGCAAAAGGGATACTTTAGGGGTCGTGTCAGCATCGTTATTTGAGGCGGATAGAATGTCCGGTGGGGGCAACTCGGGACCAAAACAATGTGTTACAGTAGGGACAGGCTAGAGATGCCTCTCCAGTGGTTAGATCCGTAGTGAGGGAGGTGGCGCTAGTGGTTTAGGAGGTGGGTTGGTTGTCTTGAAGAAGGAGGCACGACCGCTGGCACAAGAGCCTTATTAGCCTGACGTTTCGGATTCCTGCTCGAACGCAAAAGGGACGAAAGGCTTAACCGCACGGACACCAAATTTTGGCGAGCTCCTCCGTATGTCAAGAACGTTTCGGAAGCTGTCGGCCGCCTTCTCGCACCACTTGGGGTTGGAGTTGCACACAGACCGGAGGCGACCATCAGGCGCCAGTTAATGAAACCGAAAGACCCACTGCCACGGAAAGAAGCGTCTGAAGTCGTTTATCGGATCTGGTGCGGTTGCGGACAAAGCAACTGCGTCGGAGAAACCGGAAGACAGCTGCGAACGAGAATGGTCGAACACGCTGTAGCGGTGCGGAGAAATGACGCTAGCTCTCAAGTTGCGACTCATTCGACGAGATCCGGCCACATTCAAATTTGACGAAGGCGAAATTCCCGCTAGAGGTGACAACCGCGTGAGCCGGTAGCTGCTTGATTCATGGTTTACTGACCCCCAGTCCATTAACAAGTGCAATGACCTTCCACTTCCATACTCGGTGCTGAGACTTTGCTTAGGCGGAGTAATTAGCCACGCGGGAAGCGCACAGGTGAACACTTTTACCAACACCAGGGTCGGTGCGTCAGATGGTCGAGCAATCATCACACCAACATCTAACGCACGTGATGAAGTTGCAGCAATTAAAGACGCGAATGTCGGCGATGAAACAGCCATCACACCACGTGCAACGATCCCTGATGAAGGGGGGATCCATGAACATTCATAGGTATGCGGTATCATGGCGACTGCATCGTATAAATACTGCAGGCGCTTGTGCATGAGCCGCCCGTATCTGCTTTTGTCTCTGATGATTGGGTCGAGCAAGAATCCGAAACGTCAGGCTAATACAGCTCTTGTCCTGGCGATCGTGTCTTCTTCTTCTTCTTCTTCTTCTTCTTCTTAAAGATTGCTCCCTGGGATTCGTCTCTTCTCTTCTATTGGCAGTGGGTTGGTTGTGTTAACATTACTGCATTCCGAACGTATCCGAGGAATACATCCCCTGTCCTGAACGATCGTCGTCAATGCGGACATGCTGGTTGGAATTGTGGCTGTCGTCGACGCTCATCTGCGACATTGCAGTCTTGCGCGCCTATTGCTTCGGTCTTACCTCACGTGTTCAGCTAACTTCGCATATCGCTGATTCATTTTTTCGGCGGTGCGCCAAGCCCTTGTCATAGATCACGACTGACTCGTGATCTCCAGGCTTTTTTGTATCATCTCTTTTAATCTTTTAGTGCGTAATCCAGCGGCTGAGACTGGCGACATCAAGAACACACCTATGCTACTCTGCATTTGTGACGTCGGAAGGGATGCTGGAGGCGAGGAGGCTATGTACTGCGCAGGTCTTCAACAGGGGATCCTATTTATGCCGCATTAGTCTATCCTGTGGCGACCAAGCCTTCCGTCCAGTGTGACTTTTTCTGTACCCACTTTTCAGCCATTAGAGTCAGCGGGGCCAATCAATTTGTCCGTCCTTGGTACGGGCGCGGGACGGACATGCGGATCTTCCAAGGATTTCGCCCTTTCGTCTGCACTGTTTGTCATTTTAGTGGCGTATGCGCCCACGCAGTGGGAGCTACAGCCGGGTTTGAACACAGGAACGCATGCATGCGTGGCGCCTAGAGATGGCGCCCGCTGGCACGGATACCACTGGCACAGGCGGTCTTGGGGTGTCACTATGGCAACGAAAAGCAGGTAGCCTGCCGCGCACCTCTTTCATGTCCAGAAAAAGTACATTTCCATGGAAGATTCGAGGGCATGCCCATTATTCATACCG